AAGAGAAGGAAGGAAGAAGGAAGGAGAAGGGGAAAGGGAACGAGAAGCGGGGAAGAAAGGAAAGAAAGAGAAAAGAAAAGAAGGGAAGTGTGGGGGAAGGAGCCTGACAAACATGGAAGGGGAGAAGCCACCGATGTGCAGGACTCATTGTGGGTAGGCTGAGTGGAGAGGAAGACACCGCAGGTTTCTAGCTCGGGGACCTGATGCAGAAAGAACAGGTTTGCAGGAAAAGATGATGATGATGATGATGATGATGATGGTAATATCTGTGGAGCATTGGCACTAAACACCCATTTTCTCATTTGGTGCTCACAATAACCAATGAAGGAGGTACTATTATCTCTACTTTTAATATGGGGAAACAGTTAAGAGCTAAGTGGTTGAGTTGGGGTGATGAGCATGCCTGTATCTTGCAGAATGCATCATCTGAAGCCCCTGCAAGGTTTTCCAGGCTTCTCTATAGAAAAGCTCCAGCCAGGTATGGTGGCCCATGCCTGTTATCCCAGCATTCTGGGAGGTTGAAGCAAGAGGGTCACAAGTTCAAGCCCAGCCTGGGCAAGTTAGCAATTTGGAAAGAGCCTGTCTCAAAATGAAAAGAGGCTAGGCCAGGCATGGTGGCGCATGCCTGTAATCCCAGCACTTGGGAGGCTGAGGCAGGAGGATTGCTGTGAGTTTGAGACCAGCCTGGGCTACATAGTTCCAGATCAGTCTCAACTACATAGTGTCAAAACAAACAAACAAACAAAAAATTAAAAGGGGCTAGGATGTAGTTCAGTACAAAGGCCCTGGGTTCAATCCCCATATCACATACACACACACACGCATGCACACACACGCACACGCAAGCTTTGCTCCCTCCTCCTCCCCAGCCTTCAGTATCTAGCACCCCCACAGCTTCAGTCACTGTCACCAGTTTCCCTCCTACACCCCATCTCACCTTAGCTAAGGAACTCACACTGGGATGCCAAGAAAAGACTGCACTGCATAAGCCTTGAGACAGGAGGACACAGGGCTCCAGAAACCTGGTGCCAAGACCACACCTTCCCAGTTACAATGCAGAATGGAACTGAGACTGCAGAACAGTCAATCAGAAAACCAAGAAAATGAATGTGTTCCATTTGTAATAATAAAAATTATGCCGGGTGTGGTGGTGCACACCTGTAATCCCAGCACTCGGGAGGCTGAGGCAGGAGGATTGCTGTGAGTTCAAGACCAGCCTGGGCTACATAGTGAGCACCAGGTCAGTCTCAACTACATAGTGAGACCCTGTCTCAAAAAACAAAACAAACACACACACACACACACACACACACACAAAAAAAAAAAAATTAACATTTTAATGACATCAGAAAGGGCCACGAAAGGTCTCCCTTGGGCCATGCTGCACTTACTCTTTACTTTCTGTGAGGGAAGTATGCATGTCTCCTAGAGGAAGCTCCTCCAGCTCCATTTCCCTTTCCCCAGCTTTGGCTCAGGAACACCCAGTGTGACTTCAATAGTCATAGGAGATCAACAGGATGATCACTCCAAGTGAGCTCCACCCCTCCTGTCCATGGTGCAGCTAGGGGGGTGGGCAGTGCTACTGTTTCCAAATTGCTTCTCAACCAACTCTCTCACCAAAAAACAGAGGAGGTAAGTGACCAGGACAGAGCCAGGGGGCTTTGGGGAGGGTTTTTAGGCCACGAAAGCCCTGGCTTCAACCATCACCCTTGAACCAAATGAAAGGGACTGAATAAAGTTATACAGCAAGCAATGGGCCTTGGACCTGTAGGCAGAAGGCTATGCATGAGGCTGTTGCAGGCCACTTAGATGGCCACTTGGATCCACCTCCCTCACCACCTTAACTGTAGGAAAGAGGCCCACTGAGACCCCAGATAGCTTTTTAGAGTGGAAACCTGTTCCCAATGATCTGGGGAGAGAGCACCGAGAAGCCAGGCACCAAGAATCCAAACCTTGTCTGATTTGGGGGTCTCACACTTCAATAAAGCTACCACTGCCTTTGTAGTCTGTGGGGCACAAAGGTCCTCACCAGCCCTCTTGGGAGATTTTCCTTTGCATACATCTCCTCCCTCATTCACTCCTCTTGCGAGGTTCTATTCGCATCCATGTGCCTCTAGCCTGGGAAGGATTTCTGTCTGTAATACATGAACCTTTCTTTGACATCAGAACAAGAGATGCTTAAGGATCATCTCCATGCATCTTTCAGGGGCCACCAGACCCTACCCACAGAAGGGAGGTGAGTATGCAGGAGGTGAAAGCAGTGTTGTTCTAATACTGGGCCACAACCCAGGAGTGGATCATAAAAGTCTATTTAAAGAGCATCTTTGAAAATAAAATAGAATGCATGATACATGTAATAGAAAATATCAGAATGCATGCACATAGCAAAGATAAGTACTATCCCGTGAAACTTTTATTTCCAAAAGATGCACAAAGCAAATTCATAAAATGTGCCCCTTCTCTGTCAGGCACTAAGCTAGAAGGCGCCCCCAGACATTCAGTGATGAACAGGACAGTATCACCATATGGCTTCTAGCTGGGAATAGACAAACCATTCCTAGACAATGTGCCAAGTGCCCTGTGAGTGTCGACAGGGGGCAGTAAAACTCTCGTATGAGAATAGACATCTGGGAGGGCTTCCAAGAGGAGGTGGTGTAGCCAGAGTTCTCAGGAAGAGAAGATAGTGACTAGGTTCTAGAATCTCCTCCATCCTACAGATAGGAAGAGAACTATGGTAAAGTGTCAAGAGTTCAAGTGTAAACGTGAAATGGCAAGCCCTAGTTCTGCTTTTCTTCTTCAGAAATGAGACCTCAGATGAGTCAGTTAACTTGTCCAGACTGTTTCTGCATCTACAAAATGGGCATAATCTCTGCTGTGCTAACCTCAAGGAAGTGAGACATCTAAATGAGACAATGTGTATGAAAGATTTTTGTAAATTCTAAAAGGGAATGGACTGTCTCTACTGATGAGCAAATGGAGGCAGAGAGGTGAAAGTGTTCTACCCACCATTATAGTGATGGGGTAGCAGGGGTCCCCTCAATCCTCTATTTTCTGCTCCGGCTGCAACAGACCTACCTTTGCAAAAGGGCAGGGGCAGGGCCAAAAAGGCCTCCTAGCAACCTGACTACTGAATATTTATCTTGAAGATCCTGTTCTTTTCGTGGTGGGAGGTACATATGTCAGAACTTCTCCTTTTTCCCTCTGTTAATGAATTAGGATCTACCCAAACTCAGTGCTTAAAGTTACATAAGCATCATTCAGATCTTCTGTAACAGCCACTTTCATTTTTTCAAAAACAGCATTTCCATTAAAATGGTGTTATATAAAAAGGTTTTGTGTGTGTATGCAGGAACAGCAGAACAGGCAGGCCTAAGCACTGTTAAGGCACACAGGCACATACATATCATGATGGCAAGTTTTGACCAACTTGACCACGCTGAACACGAAGACCTCATGCATGTTGGGCAATGGGAATTACAGCAGGAAGACCACTGGCTGCCCCTGTCCCCTAGGGCCTAAATAAGTCTTGGCTTTTTCTGGAAGCCCTTTCCTTGGCAGGGTGAGTTCCATTGAGCCACAGCATATCAGCACTGGAAGTAGCTCAGAAACCACCTATTACATACTTACTTTACTTCAGTCCTGCCAAGCCTGACCTGAACAGCTCCCTTCCTCCCAAGGCAGCTCAGGTCACCTATGGACAGATGTAGATCACTGGAAAGGACCGGATACTGAGCTGAAACCTGCCTTTCTGAATCTAGCACCTTGTGGAGACAATTGAAAATCCCTCACCTGCGACCCTAAACAGGGAATTTATGAGTTTAAAGTCCTAGGTGGTCCCCTGGTAGAGCACCACGGGGCCCTGAAGAGAGTCCACAGAGAGGCAGCTACTCTCAGAGACCTCCAACCAACTCAACTGAAGATAGTACTTTGGGGAGAGGAGGAGCCTGAATGAGAAGAAAGTGAGTGGCTCAGTAAAGCCTTGTTCCTCAGGTCTACGTATCAACTGTGGCGGTCACTGTCCCGAAGTGAGCTCCAGATTTGACAGTGGAGTCCTAGGTCGCCCCCCACCAAGCCCTTTCAGTAGTCCATGGTTGTACCCTTTCACGTGAATCAGTGCGTCCCAAAAGCAGAAAACAGAGTAACAGCGCTGGGCCCTGGCCCAACCCAGGTTAAGCGTCCCTCTCGGTTTGCCCAGCTTGCCCTTCGAAGAAAGGAGCTATTCCGCCTTCCTGGAGTAGACAGCGGTGACTAGAACACCCAAGCACCGAGCAGGAGAACGCGAGCTTTGGAGTGGCCTTTTAAGTAGTTGGGAAGGGGGTGTGGCCGAGGAGACAGGGAGGCCTTAGCCGGGCGAGGGGGGAGTGGTCCGGAGGCGTGGCCGTGGCGATTGGAATGTTGTTGGGTCCTCGCATCGCATAGTAAGGAGGGGCCACGCCCCTTTTCCCCGAGAAGGCCAATCGGAACGCCGGAACGGTTTCAAGTCTCCCCTGCCAGCCTGCCCGCCCGCCACCCCACCCCCCTCGGAGATTCGCGTTTTCCGTAACAAAATAGCAAAGCTCCGAACTGTCCGTAGCCCAGGCAGCTCGCAAGTGGAGGGTCCTAGGGCCTAGAACGCTGGCCCGGAGTGGGAAGCACCGGCAGGCCGTGAAGAGGCCGGGTTAGCAGCTGAGGCGCGCGGGGGTGGGCTCTGCAGCCGCGGGTTGTTTATCTGGAGTACGGAGGGGAGGGGGGAGCCTGGAAACCGCCCCGTGTCCCATTTCCTCCTCTTGTTTTCGCTCCGGATTC